CATCTGGGAGTCCATGGTGTTGGACGCTAGCATTTGGGAGTCCATGGTGTTGGATGCTAACATATGGGTCTCCATGGTGTTAGAAGCTAACATATGGGATTCTTGGGCCATCAAGGGATCCACTCCTACTGTTATAGAAGTCTCCCCCACTAATGTAGTAGGCAGCTCCTGTGCTACCGTATTATAGGATTCCAGCGCTGTCGTCGAGGGCACCTCCAGGGACTGCGACACGGTCATCGTTGACAGCTCCGTTGTCACCACAGACTGAACAGAGATCTCCAGCGCCACAGTTGCCACAGGCTGCCCAGGCAACTCTGGCGCCCCAGGCTGCCCTGGCAACTCCAGCACCCCTGTTGCCAGAGGCTGCCCCAAAAGCTCCAGTGCTCCAGCTGCCCCAGACTGCCCCGAGAACTCCAGTGCCCCAGTTGCCATGAGCTGCCCAGGCAACTCCAGTGCCCCAGTTGCCACAGGCTGCCCCGACAACTCCAGTGCCCTAGTTGCCGAAGGCAGCCCTGGCAACTCTGGCACCCCAGTCACCGAAGGCTGCCCTGGCAACTCCAGCGCTGTTGTTGCCACTGACTGTCCTGGCAACTCCAGCACCATCGCTGCCTCAGGCTGCCCCAGCAACCCTGTTGCTGTTGTCACCTCAGGCTGCCCAGGGTGTTCCACCGTTGTCATCCCCACAGGCTGCTCCAACTCTGTCGTCGTCACAGGTTGCTCGGTCAACTCCATTGCTACTGTTACAGCAGACTGCCCCGGCGACTCTACTGCTGCTGTCACCGCAGGCAGCCCTGGCAACTCCTGTGCCATCACAGGTGGCTCTGGTACCTCCTGTGGTGGCTCCAACCCCATGGATGGTGCTGGAAGCCCTGGCAATTCCTGTGACAACTGTGGCACTGATGTCACAGAGGGCCCCGGCAACTCAGGCACTGCTGTCGCAGGGGGCCCTAGCAACTCAGGCACTGGGGTAGAAAGGGGCCCTGGCAACTCTGGCACCGGGGTAGCAGAGGGCCCAGGTAACTCCAGCACTGGAGTCACAGGGGGCCCCTGCAACTCCGGCATGGAGGTCGCAGGTGGCCCCGGCAACTCCATCGCTGAGGCCACCGACGACTCCGGCAGCTCCAATGCTGTGGTCTTGGGCAGCTCCAGCAACTCCTGCGATCTTGTCATGGATGAATCTGCAATCTCCGATGGTACTTCTACAGGCTGCTCTGGCAATCTTAGTACTTCAGTTGCAGATGACTCTGGAAAATCCATTGTTATTGATGTGCTTGGCTCAGGGTGCGCCTCAGTAGGTGTTTCTGATGATACCGCAAGGGTTTCTGATGGTTCCAGCACTTTTGCTACTGGAGGCTCTAACATGATCTTTGATGGCTCTGGAGGTGTGCTCTCCGAAGATTTCAGCACAGATTTCATCTGATACGCCATTGACATTGTTACGACTGGTTCAGATGACTTTAGCGCTACTGTTGTAGTAGGCACTGGTGCTGTTGTGAAAGAATCCAGGGTTTTTGTCATGGATGGTTCCAGCGTTATGGCCACAGACTGCTCTGACTGAACTGAGATTACTGACGTAGATGCAACTGACAGTTCTGCAGTTTTTGCAACTGGCTTCAGAGTTTCTAAAGTGTGTGGCTGTGATACCTCCATTGATACTATAGGAGGTTCTAGCACAACTGCAGGAGACTCACTGGTCTCAGACAGGCCAAAGGCTCTTACAGGATGCTCCAGTGCCACCACTGAGGGTTCAGAATCAAACTTCAAAAATGAATCCGATTCTAAATCCATGTTCTCATCATGATGTGATTTCGGCTTGGACTCAGATTCTTCTGGCTGTCTTTTATACTTTTTTTCCTTTTCTTTCTTCTTTTTCTTCTTTTTATTTTTGTGCTTTTTATGCTTCTTTGACTTTTTGGTGGGAATTTCATCAGTAGGATCTGTTTGTACAGACACACATCTACTTTTTCTGGAGGCCTCCTTCAAGTCTGAAATTAAGAGAAATTAATTTTAATTTGTCAAACATTCCTCAAAGTAGATTTACTTAAATCACATAAGCCAAAATTTACAATCAATGTTAAGACAGCATAGTATAACACTTCTTGTTAAATAAAAAGTTACCAAATAAACTATTTTCCATAAACCGATTATCTGAAGACTGACACCTTTCCAATACTTCTACAACTAAAGCCTAGGTTAAAAATAAGTTCTTAGTTATAACAAAAACTCTGAATTACATTAAAAAGTGTTTCAACTAAGTTCACTTTAAAACAATTATTTTCTCCAGCTCTCAAATTATATCACATTACTTTTAAACAACACTTTTAAATAATATCTTTAATATTATCAATGTTAGAATTCCTATAAAAAGTACCCACATTAAATAATTTTGTGACTTTCATAACCTCTGTCTATATAGGAAGCAAAATGGCACTGGCTCTGGAACAAACTTGTCGGTTTTTGAATCCTGAATCAATCTACCACTCAATAGATAAATGGACTTGGCCAAATTACTGACACTGTCTCCCACAGTGATTGGACAGTGAGTTAAAACACACAAAGTACACTGAACAATGCCTGGCATGTAGTAAGCCCTCATCAAATACCAGTGATTGCTTTTATACAGTACACAAAAGTCTGAACAACAAATGTAAAGCATCAATATGGAACATGAATTTTACCTTATTACACCCACGTTATATCCTAATAAAAATAACATCTTCCCCCCCAATAATCTTCTAAAATTACTAAGAAACAATTTTTTAATGTTTCTACTAAAATAATAACAATAATAATAATGTCATTTTGGGAAGAAATTTCTTACAACCCTTAACAAATAACTTAACATTTCAATCTGCTTATCTGAAAGAGTGGTTTATAGTGCACTTTTATAACCAGGTGGGATTTACTCTAATGCCAGTATCAAATTAGATCTTAGTGATCCTAGAAAAGCTGATCAGAAACCTAGCCCCTTAAGATTACCCGGGGGGGGGGGGGGGGGGGGGTCGTCAACACACAAGACCAGAGCAAAACTAATCGTTTTCTATCATTTATTACTCACCAAATGTTAGCTAAGTTATAATTCAATCAAGAAAAAGTTGCTAGTACTATGAATCTAAGTATAGTCTGTTTTTTACCATACCCTATACCAAAAATAATAAAAAAATACCATACTCCATTTCTAAAACTATTGATATTGCTATTTTTGTGGTTGATCATAACTTTTATTTCTAAGCATCAATTATTTAATCAACTCCAAAAATGCTAAATATCCAAGCAATGATTCCTCTGCATTCTCCGCACTTTTAAGAGGAGTGGGTGCAAACACAAGGTAATCTCTATACATGGTTTATAAAACTGTCCAGGGTTTTAAAATTATTACAAATGTGGTCTAGGCTCCTGTACCTTCTTCCAAAGTGCACATTTACACAACTGTTCAAGGAAAACCCACTTTCAAAATCCTAGCACTGGGGCACTGTAAGAGTGAATCAAAGTTATATTCCCAGTAAAGCAAACAAATGCACCAATGTTCATGTTTCAGTAACAATTGTATTTTCAAAGAATTCAAACAAATTCTTCAGTAAACCAATTACACTAAAACTTAAATTTATTGAAGTTTTAGATCTAATGAACATTTTAAATACCATGCAGTCACGAAATAATGCTGTTAACCATTAAAAAAAACTTCAAGTTTTTGAGACAGCTCATTATCTCCAACTTACCTGGCTTATATCGTAGTTCTGTGTCCAAGACCCCAGAAAGTACTTCCTCTATCTTCTGAACTATTTCTTCATTTGGTAGACTCCTGGCAGAGGCAGCTGCATCACCTGCCTGGTTTCCTTCAGTAGGTGTATTTGTTTCACCATTGAGCTGGCCTTCACTTCTTCCACTTTACAAGAAAAGTTATCAAAATTCATTAATATTTTTACCACATTATACATTAAATTTTGTAACTCAACTGATTAAAATCATCTTATATTAATATTCACCATTTTTGTATTTCTTTCAGGTTACATTCCCTACCAGTAGTGCTTCCTTAACACTATCTACTTGTAATTGGTACATTCTTATTTTTACACCAAGTTTTCAGAACTGTGAAAATTAAGAATAAGTCTTTAAAACTAGGTTTCTAAGCTCATCTTTTTTTCCCAACAAAATACTCCCAGAAATATAAATTGATTTAGATTTCGGTTACCTGCATATTTATCTCAGGAGAGAAAAACTATTATAAGATCACAATCACAAATCCAAAGAATATATGACCCAATTTTATGACAGAAGCTATCGCCACTATAAAGCCACACCTGTGCATGGATCACAATCACCATCAACAGTATCAAGGAACACAAAGTTAGCCATCAAGTATATAGGATAGCATGTAGCCTTTGATGAGATTTAGGTTGATTGGTTACTGAAATGCCACAAAGTTTAAAAAGAAAAATACATTTATATAAAAATACATTTATATAATTTTTACCCAGTCATCAAAAATTCTAATATTAAAAAAAATTCCTAGAGTTCCAAAAAATTTCATGTAAAACAAGTGACAATTCATTTATACCAACAGTAAATGAATGGATTGACTATAACCCCCCCTTCCCAATCTACTACCCCTCTGACATCCTATATAGCTCCTACAATACCATTGACTATATTCCCTATGCTGTGCTCCACATCCTGTGACATAAATATTAAATTACAGTTGACATTCAGTATTATTCAAATTCAGGTGTACACTGCAGTGGTCAGGCATCTACACCACCCATGAAGTGGACTCCCTAATAAGACAAGTGTCTATCAGATACCCTACAAAATCTTTATAACATTATTGATTATATTCCCCAAACTGTCTTTTGTATTCCCACGGCAATGTTGTGGTTACCAAATTTGTGCTTTCAAACACCCTCACCTTCTCCCTTATCCCCACTCCCCTCCCATCTAGCAACCTTGGTTTTTTTCTATATCTCTGAAACTGTTTCTGATTAGTTTGCTTATTTATTCTATTCTTTAGATTCCACATATAAGTGAAATCAATTCATTTTTTTAAATTGAGGTAAAATTAGCGTGTGTATGGCTTTAGGTGCAGTTTATAATTCAACATACGTATACACTACAAGTGATCACCACCAAAAGTCTAGTTACCATCTATCACCATACCATTGACCCCATTCCTCCCTCCTCCCCAATCCCCCCTCATAACCACCAATCTGTTCTCTGTATCTATGAGTTTGTTTTTGTTTTGTTTGTTCATTTGTTTTGTGTGTGTGTGTGGGGGGGGTTGGTGTTTTGTGGGGTTTTTTTAGAAGAATCTTAAAGATTCTTCTAAAAAAAATAGAAGACATAAGAACATATCATTTACCTGGTCATTTTTACTATTTTTGTATAAATTAGCAAAATTGTTTTGAAAAATAATTTCAAGAACACGTTCAATTTAATCTAACTTAAATTTTAGCTAACAAAACAGATGGAACAAGTATGTTCCACTACCTGATAAAAGTATGAATGGTCAAAAAAAAAATTGGTAGTTAACTGTAATTAAGGAACATTTGGTTTGCTAACACAATGAATCACATAATTAACATTTGTTGACAGTGTCACAAGGTTTTACATTTTTTAAACTCATCTGATCCTAACGAGACTCTAAAATCAGCACTATTCTGATTTTATAAATGAGAAATGAGGCACAGAGAAGACAAGAAACCTAGCTGTAGGTCACACAGCTATTAAAAGAGGTGAAGCAGGTATTCAAAGCCAGAGCTCATACTCCTAACCACCATCTTTATGTAATAAATAATTTAACTATCTAAATTTCAGTCTCCTTACCCAAACTGACACATGTTAAAATAGATGGAACATAAAGCTCACCAAAATGGCAAATAATAAAAAATCTGTTTTTACAACCGATAATGTATTACATGTTATTTGAAAAGCTAAATATTCCTCTAGTAATAAATTGCTTTCTCTAATATTCTTTAGACTTTCCTTCAGAAGCACTTTTCCTAAACACTTACATATATATAATTACCTCACTAAAAAGGCAACAGTTTTAAAAATCAGAAAAGTACAACTAAAAAAAAAAACCACCAGTCAATCTATGAGAATGTAACCATCTTAAAGCTATCAGGATGTTTATCTCAATTACTAGAAAGGGATGAAAATTTCAAACCACCTAAATATCCATCAATACATTCCTACAGAACTTTATGGAACCATGAAAAAATGTCACAAAAGTCCCGAAAGATTACGGAGACCGATATAAGACAAACTTGCTCACAATATATATTAGGCGAAAAAACAACCAACATAGATGATCACATTTCACAAAACATGTACGTGCAGCTGTCCACAAACGGGGGCGGGGGGGATTAAAAAACATCAATAACCATGGTGGGGTTTTTTTTCTTTTTAATTTTTAAAAATTTTCTACAACAAAACATTTCCTAACACAAAAACTGATTTTTAAAAGGTATAAAAGATTACAATAAGCAAACACAAGTACTTATTGCACGCAACTATTTTATCAAGTTTCAAAAAAATATATTCCCTTAGCTTGGGTCTTTTCTCATCATCCTGACAACACAAGCATGTAACAAAATTTTTTAAAGCAACGGAATGAGTAAGCGGATATATTTCCCATTTAAAAAACAATATATCCTGTAAAAATAATCCTAGCCATACTATATCTTTGCCCCAATAACCCTAGGTTAACTCGAGCACTTAATTTACAATTGCGTTTTCCACTGATTTTCAATCACCTATTGCTCTTGCTCTCAACTTTTAAACTACAACTAGCAAAAACATTCGAACTCAGGATATTTACGTTACACAAAGCAAAAAATACTGAAAGACAACCAATTAACAACCGCATTACCCACGCTATTTTCCTTTGAGTAAACAACTATTTCTTTGGAAATCTCTTCTCGTTCAAATTTGGTGGAACCGAGGATAAACTACATAAAGTCTACCAGCAATGGCAAAAAGTAAACTGTTGTTCAAATATATCAATTGGGGCAAGGGTATCACATAAACATTTAGATCTACGCAAAGCCCACCTTTCACTTGCTAAATTAAAAAATTACTAATTCAAAGTCCCCTTCCACTCTCAACTCGAAATATTTGTCAAAGGAGTTAACATTAATTGAATTGTTTTCATTTGAATTCCGAATCTTAGAATGCTGCCCGGTGGAAGCCACAGGACAGTAGGGCCCAAATAATCTTACTAGAAGATCCCGACCCCCAAGTGGTCTGAAGCTTGCAGTAAAAGGCGTGTTTAAGTTTACTCAAAAAACGGCCGTTAGAGACCCTTTCCGGTCATAGGCACCGGCCGGCGAAATCCGCGGAGGCTGAGAGGGGGAGGGGAAACGCGGCGGCGGAGGAGGAGCTGAGGAGGAACTAGGCCCGTCCCTAGTGGACAACCAGGCCTACTAACTAAAGGGTAGGGCATGACCAAACGGAGAAGAGTGAGCTTCTTAACTCGGTTCTGGAGAGAAGTCTGGGGTTACCTCGGAAAGAGCGAAGTTTCTCGCTGGGAAGGGAGGGAGCGGATGGGGGGGGGGCGGAAAATGGATCCCAGGCCCAGGCGGGGCTGTAGCGGGGCCTGAGGCGGGGAACGACGGCGTCTCTGAATAAAGGTGCTACGGAAGGGTACATGGTGCCCTATCGACCCCTTAGGAGCAGAAGAGTTTGGGAAGCGCCTACCTTGAAAGCTCCTGTTGAATTTCCCGGAATTTACTGACCACGAAAGACCTAAAAATCTGCTCGATGTTGGTCGCCATGGCGTCCGCTCCGTTCTCTCAACTCCTCCTCGCTAGTCCTCCAGGCTCCCAGAATGCCTCGGGAGGAGGCGCAGGGGCCAATTCCGTCTCTCGCAGTCCTGATTGGCTCCTGTGGGAACGTGGCTCTCCACGCTCCGCCAATGTACCAATCAATGAGCACGGCCCTGCTCTCCTCCGCTGTTTCTGAGCGGCCGGGGTAAAGATGCTGACGTTTGCGCCGCGCACGACTCTGTCCGCCATGTTAGTGACTGACGCAGGCGCCATTACAGGAGAAGTCTCTCGAGGCGACTTTTGTCAGTTTAAGTTGTCAGTCTCCAACAGTGTTTAGGAGCTTAAGAGGTTTACTTTAGCCACTAAACGCCCGCGATTAAATGCTATGAGGAAAGGGAGCAAAAAGGGCAACATGGTGTTGAACACGGGGCCTACAACATTATTCCCAAGTTGTTTCGTCAAGGGAGATGCATCCGGGAAATCAATCATTAATCAGCACCCGCCCCCACCCACAATGATGCCAATAGGAAGGACACGATTTTACCCCGTGACATCCTATAATCAGTTTTGTTTTTAAGCAATAGGTCTAGAGCGACCTGCGTTCAAAGCCTGGTGCATGCTAGTCATGAGCCAGGCGTTTCACGAGACTTTATCACTGTAGCTGTTTGGTTCTGACTCGCTAGCAACACACAATTAGCTAAGTGTAGATTTTGCGTTTGGGGGCGCTCCCCCTCCTCAGAGACCGGGAGGTTCTTCAGGTGGAATAGAGACCTTAGGTGGAACCGGGGGCCGTAGTATCACATTATAAGCACGCAAGGAAAGGCTTGCGAGCTTTGCTGGGGAGTGGGCTCAGGCCGCACCCAAGAGCGGGAGGGAACACACTTCATTACCTCGCGGGAGGGGGGTTGCGCTGACCAATGGGGAGGTTCGCGAAGCCCTCCGCGGGGGGCGGGCCGGAGCAGGGGAAGAGGAGCGCGGCTGACTTCCGGCGCGCATCGGGCGCTAGAGCTCGAAGCGTGCCGCGAACGTTTTGAGTGCCAGCGGTCAGAGGCCTTGAGTCGACATTGTGTTGGTGCGTAAGCCCTCTTCCGCTTTTTAAGTAAAATACATTTATGCTTTGGTTTGGGGAGTCTAATATCAGAAATTTAATGCCCTAACTTCAGTTGAGAGATAGCTATAGGAGCTGGTTTAGCATGCAGTGAGTGGGGGTTCGCCATGTGCTTTTCACTTTTAACTGAGGTTTACATTGGATCTGTCCCTTTCCCTCCATTTTAAGATGCAGGGCCTTTTTGTATCTTTATGCTTTTTTTTTTTTAAGGTCATAAACCTAAGTTGCATAGTTTCTTGTTATGCACCCATTATGTCTAGCAGATTAGTCTGCTACTGTAATTGGTTTCTACTTTATATTACTCATAAAATCCATTGAAAGCCAGGCTCCGCTCCTGGTAAGGACCTGGCACTCTTCATCTCTTTATGTTACTCATTTGGATGACTGAGCCCCAAGAAAGTGAATTAAGCCCCTCAAGGTATCCTAGTTAATAAGGGACTGAGTATCAAACCACAGCAAGGCACCCTGACTAGAACCTAGGCCTAACCATTCCTGGTGTAGATTTGTTTAGGCTGCCTCCTTTTCCCCCTCTTATTCAAACAAAATGTAATATTTTCTCTAGATTTAAAGCTATGTTTACTTCCAATGTTTCAGTGCACATGGCAAATCTGTGTTTCCATTAAACTAAAATAGCTTTTCTCTTTCTGAGACGATAATTTAGTAATTGTTTTCCCCCGCAAGTTTTCAACGACCACCATCTCATTGTTGAAGTACCTGATGCAAAATTGCTTCAGTTGTAATCCAGGCTCCACCCCCTCTTAGCTCTGACCTGCAAGTTACTTAACTGTACCCCAGTTTCTTATCTGTAAAGTGGGGATGGTAATATACTTCATAGAATTAGGAAGATTAAACCGGGTGGTTCATGAAAAGCATTTAGAACATAGCACCTGGCACAAAGTAAGTGCTCAAAAAATGTTCTTTTTTTCTATTATCAGCTTAGTTTTTATTTAAATGTATAATTCTAGCATCTCACAAAAAGTTACAAATTTCAGTCCTCTTTTTCCTATTTTCAGTTTACCTTCTACATAATTAAATGTCTTCTGAAAATACGTAAATTAATGTGCCAAATTGTTCTTTAGGGTTTTTTTCCTGTTAGAACTTCTAAAGCATCAATTTAAGTAAAAGTACTTAATAAAATATAACAAATTAACATTTACTACTGCTGAATGTCAGAAATTATACTAATTGTTTATATAAATGTCTTTCAGTTCATCCTAAAGTAACGTTGTAAGGTAAATTTTCTCCCATCTTTTAAGATGTGAAGAAATTGAATTACAAATAGTAAAGCTTACCAAAGGCACACTGCTAACCAGTTGAGAGATAGCTGTTGCACCCATCCTGCTCAGAATCAAATGCCAGAATTAATGTGAGACATGTTCAAATTTGATTTCTGCCTTCTCCACCGGTTTTCTAAAATACGGCACTAATTTTTTAAATCAGAGGTCAGCAAACTATGACCTTTGTGCCAATCCTTCCTGCCACCTGTTTTTGTACAGCCCGCCAAATAAGGATAACTTTTAGGTTATTAAATGGTTGAGAAAAAAAGAACGATGTTTTTACGACCCGTGAAAATTATAAAATTCAAATTGCAGTACCCATAAACAATAGTTTTATTACAACACAGCCATGCTTATTCTTTATAAACCTCTGATTACTTCCTATTGCTTAAAGCAGAGATAGGCAAACTATGACCTACTGCCCATGGCCTGTTTTTGTAAGTTTTTACTGAACAGAGCCACATTCATTTACTTGTGTATTGTCTAGGCGGCTTTCATGCTGCAGCGGAAGATCACAAGATTTAAAAATAGTTATTTTGAGTTCTGGTCTAGATTTAAAACATCAGGATTCATTTTTAACTGAAGCTCGATTATCATACCTTCTAAAAACCCAAAGAAGGGTTATTGTTCATAGATATTTTTTTTTAACCTTTTAAGGAGTTAAAGTTACTATTTCACTCCTTAACCTAGCTCTCTAGGCCCATCTGCCCCATTTTTAAAATACCTCCCTAATCCTTATGAATAGAGTCATATTTCGCAAATTACTTCATTTCACAAATTACTTCATCCTAATTTGTCACAAATGAATCGTTGGAATACATCATATTTAAAAATGGTGATTTGTAAAGTATGTGCATTCTGAAATATCAATTGTGGTTTTCTTTCTGCAGCTCTTACTTGCCTTCTGAATTCCTGCTTTGCAGACAGCAATGGCAGCCCGAGTGCTTGTAATTGGCAATGGAGGAAGAGAACACGCACTGGCCTGGAAACTTGCACAGTCTAATCATGTCAAACAGGTGTTGGTTGCCCCAGGAAATGCAGGCACTGCCTGCTCTGAAAAGATTTCGAATGCTG